TCATGCTGCTTCCGTGGGCTCCAGCATTCTTCAGATTACTCACTACGAAGGGCTAGTAATCCTGCAAAATGCATTTATTCTGCCTGTTTTCTGCTTTCAAATGTGTTAATAACCATGTCTATATATTGATATGGAGATATATGTATATTTTTTATTTTTTTTAAAACTATTGTGATCTGTCTTGAGATGTTTTGTGATGTGTGCATGTGATAGATCGGGACGCAAGGTATAACATAAAGAACAAACACAGACAAATGCATAATCTTCTCCCACTGGGATCTCTACAGAGCCTTAAAGGTGCCAGGTAATTTTTTATTTGTGTTATATTGTGCGTATGCTGTACTATCTTATATGCACAATATATATTAACTTGTGCACATGCTTTAACTGTTTTGTGCACACAAAATAACTAAATTGTGTGCACAACTTAGTTAATATCTTGTGCATGCAATATAGCTAACTCGTGCACACAATGTACTTAATCATGATCTCACCACAAGCACACCTAATGTAGGACGACCTCCAGTGCAAATTGACTACTTCAAGTCCTCTGGGGCTCATTAGATCTCTGTATTTGCCTATCATTAGTTACATTGAGGAAGATTCCATGATTATATAGTAGCCATTCTGAGTTATTTTATTGTTGTGTTGTCACCATGGCAACTTTGGATCATCTTAAAGAATCTTTATGAAGATACTGAGGTTACTCTAAATGTCCTATTTAAGGAATAATATATCAATGTTTTTCTAAAGATAACATAAAAGAGTACATACCTGTAAATAAGATTTTTTTCATCAGACAGCACAGTGATTGCTCAGTTTTAAATTTTATGGATATATGTCATGAATTGTTTTTATTGACTTTGATGACATTGTTTCAGTGTGATATCAGCTTTAGAGGTGTCATCATTTTACATTGTCTATAATTCATGCAATATGTCACTTGTATAAATGTAAGCAATTCAGTACGCAGACCGGGAATAGGATTAGGGTTTGTTTAGAGAAAAACTGTTATAAAGAAATAATGAAGTTTTAAAGAAGGAAAGTTTAAGTATATAGTAATTTAAACCATTAAATCATTTGACACGGAGTTTCAGACATTCCTTTCATGAAAAAAATACTTCTTTACTTGTATAACATTTAGGACATTTTACCCAGAAATTTCACTGATGTGTTTATTATTTCATTGCTGAATGTGTTTAAAATCCTGTAGTATCCTTTGACTATGGTTTAGTCACCCAGCCAACGTATTTGTATTCTTGCTGGACATTTATCACATATAATGAATACAAGTTTTACTCATAAAATATATATCTGTGATTTAGAATGTATCCAAACACAGGCTATGCAGCTCTACCCGTCGATAATTGCCTAATTAATTGCCTAGCTAATTAATTAGCTATATAAACCCCAATCATGCAAAGCATCATTACACAATGTTAGTGCTCACCAACATGAAATGTTGAAAATACTAAAATTGGTATTTTTTGGAATAGATATTTGACAGTGGGTTTATTCACTAAACATCATATTTCTGATATCAGAATTGCAAAATTAAAGGAACATTATAGGCACCAAAGAAACTTAAGCTCAATTTTCTGCCATTTAGGAGTTAAATCACTTTGCTTATGCAGCCCTAATCACACCTCCCTGCATGTGACTTATGCAGCCTTCCTAAACACTTCCTGTAAATAGTAATTTAATGTTTACACTTCCTTTATTGCTAATTATGTTTAATTTAGAATTTATGTCCTTCTCTGTTAGTAGTTTGCTAGACCCTGCAGGTGCGTCCTGCATGTAATTAAAGTTCAAATTACAGAGCAGGAGAGAAAAACTTTTAAAGTAAGGTACATCTTACTGAAAATGAAACCATTTTTTTAATGCAGGCTGTGTCAGTCACATCCAGGGGAGGTGTGTCTAGGGCTGCATAAACAGAAACATAAGTGATTTAGCTCCTACATGGAAGATAATTGAGCAGTGAAACTTCAGGGCCATGATCTATACACAAAAACCACTTCATTAACCTAAAGTTGTTTTGGTGACTATATACTGTCCCTTTAAGGCAAAAAAGTGCTAATTTGAAAAGAACTATCTAAAACTAAATTAGAAGAAATACAGATATGTGATTTGTTGTACTATTCAGCTGATAATAGTACACACACCCAGGAGTGGAACTATATTCATTTCAAGTGTAATATTCAGTAACAAACCTCTTTTGGAACATAGGTTAATATATATTAAAGTCATAATAATCACTCTATTCACATTATAAAGTCTTTATTAAGGTGCTAAACTATCATCAGTGCAACTCTAAAAATTCACAGCTTCTATCGTCGTCGTATATTTTACATCCTCGAAGAAGCTTTCAGCATCTGCGCACAAGCTAAAATTATCATCATGCTGTGATCATTTTCAAGACCATTTTTCCTGAATGACACACAATCGGAGAAACTTGCCAAACCAAAAAGTTGCCTTTAGGGAGGGATTTTTGGAAGGAATGAAACCTAACCCATTAACAGAAAATATTTTTTTTGGAGAAAGAAATTTAATTCAAACAGATATTTCAAATCTACCAACAAAATAAATCACAGGTATCAGTGCAAAATGAGACCACCCTCCCCATCCAATCTCCATAGAACAGCAATGCTCCTTATCTTGATACTTGTGTTTGTGTGCCACATTTTTGAACTGCTTTTGAACATTATTGTTGTAAATCATTGGAATCCTCACAAATATAATTGGCAGTTTCTTCTTCTTAGTATGTTCTCCTCCTTTTCGCTCCCATATGAGGCAGTAATATATTGTGTATAATTGGCGGTGTAAACATCCATATGTTAGTATTAATAGCACATTAGCCTGCAATAACATTAAAAAAAATCAATAGAAATAAATCATCTACGTCAGGGGTTCCCAACCTGTGGTATGCGTACCTCCAGAGGTACAATTCAGCTCCCCTGGGGGTCCGCAAAAATATTTCAGCAATGGTGGAATTGAGTTCTGCAGGGCCGAACCAGGGTACATTGTCTCGAGACTGCCACTGCCCCCTCCCACACAGCTACTGTCCCCCTCCCACACAGCCCCTTCTCTACTCTGCGCTGTCCTCCTCCCACACAACCACTGCCCCCCTTCCCACTGTCCCCTTCCCACACAGCCACTGCCCCCCTCCCACACATCCACTGCCCCCCTCCCACACTGCCACTGCCCATCTCACCAAACAGCCACTGCCCCCGCCCCACTGTCCACTTACCACACTGCCACTGCCCCCTCCCACACAGCCACTGCCCCTTCTGCGCTGTCCTCCTCCCACACAGCCACTGCCCCTTTTCCACTGTCCCCCTCCCACACAGCCATTGCCCTTCCCACACAGCCACTGCCCATCTCCCCACACAGCCACTGCCCCTCCCCACTGTCCACTTACCACACTGCCACTGCCCCTTCCCACACTGCCACTACCCATCTCCCCACACAGCCACTGTCCCCTCCCCCCTGTCCACTGCCACTGCCCCTCCCACACAGCCACTGTCCTTCCCACACAGCCACTGTTCCCCTCCCCACTGTCCCCTTCCCACACAGCCTCTGCCTCTTCCCACACAGCCACTGCCCCCATCCCCACTGTCCCTTCCCACACAGCCATTGCCCCCTCCCCACTGTCCCCTTCCCACACAGCCACCTCCTCCCTCCCCACACAGCCACTGCTACTGCCCCCTCCCCACTGTCCACCTCCCACACTGCCACTGTCACCCTACCAACCTGTCACTGGCCTCCTCCCTACTGTCATACTTACACACTGTCACTATCTCCCTCCCACACAGTCACTGCCCCCTCCACACTGCCACCCTCCTACACTGCCCCTCTCCCAATTGCCACCTTCTCACACTGTCTCTGCCCCATTCACCGCTGTCTCCCTCTCACACCTGACACCTGTCCTCTTCCCCCATGCTGCCACCCTCTTCCTGTATTTTCACTCGTCATCCTCCCACACACTGCCCTCTGCTCTCCTCACACTGCTACCCCCACACTGTCACCCTCCCACACACTGTCACTTGTCCTCCCCCCACTCAGTCCCCTCTCTCCACTCTCTCACACTGTCACCTCCCTCCCCTCACATTCTCCCCCCTTCACCACACACTCCCCCCCTTCCCCACACACTGTCACCAACCTCCCCACACACTGCCCTCTGCTCTTCTCACACTGTTACCATCCCCACACAATGCCTCCCCACTTTTACCTGTCCTCCCCTCACACTGTCACCTGCCTCCCCTCACATTGTCCCCCCTCACCACACACTGTCTCCCCACACACTGCCCCCTCTCCCCACACACTGTCCCCACCTTCCCCACACACTGTCACTTGTCCTCTCCCACACTGCCCTCTGCTCTACTCACACTGTTAGCCTCCCCACACAATGCCCCCTCCCCCCACTTTCACCTGTCCTCCTCCCACACAGTCACCAATGCCCACATTGTCACCCCCCTCCCTCACACGGTCATAAACCTCCCCAAACTGTCATCAACATCCCCACACACTGTCACCTGTCCTCCCCCACACCCAAACACTACCCCCACACACTGTCACCTGTTCTCCTTCCACACTGTTCTCTTCCCCACACACTTTCCCCCCAACTGTCCCCCCACAATCCCATTTCCACACAGTAACCCCACTCCTCCACACTGACACCCTCCCCCCACACTGTCACATGCCCTCCCACACTATCCTCCTCCCACACACTGCCTCCTCACAATGTCACCCTTCCACACACTGCCCCCCACAATGTCACCCTCCCACACCCACTGTCAGAGGAAGTTGGGCAGAGAAAAACCGTATACATTTGAAATATTAGCAACTATATTAATTACAAAATTTTTGCCAATTTATGGAAATGGTTTGCCAAGGGGTACTCCAGTCAAAAAAGGTTGGGAACCATTGATCTACATCATTGGCACCAAAAGTGGATGTAGGTATTAGCATATGAGGAAGGAGTGTTACTTCATTATGCAGGGGCCGCTAGAGCTACACCTGGTGCCAGTCAATAGGCATACAAAAAAGTGAAATGTTGTGCTTTTAACTCAAATGTTATATAACAGAACAACCTTTGTTCATCGACTACCTACAGAACATGAAAAACAAATAATTTACATTGGTTATGTATAAAAATGGTCTTTTCTGAAAACTGGTGTAAACATCGGAAAGGGGTGGGGTCACTAATGTAATATGCTTCCTGGTTCCATTGATTTCCGTGGTGACCACTATTTTGAGTACTTTATACCACTTTTCAGTACCCAACACATTTGTTTTTGTCTTTAGATATTAGAGGCAAATGGTGAACGGGCCTTTGTCATGAAATCACCAAATAGAAATATTATAACTAATCTTACTAAAAATATAATTGTGATAATTGTTTTAAGCTTTTAAAATGGATAAAGAATGTGATATGTTGCTACAAAGACCCCATGATATTCATATAGGTATACAAATCTTCCTGCTGTGGAGATTAGTACAGCATTCTCATAGCTCCCCCTCCCCTCCTGACTTCTTCATGTTGCATGTTGTCACAGCATCAACATATAGGTAGAGGGACCATTTTACAACATATTTCACCATTATTTTGATTAGCGCTACTACAAGATGGCTTGGCCTATAAGTTACAAAATTTTGCCAAAATAGCCCATTTGAATTCCCATGGTGACTCACTGGCACAAATTTTGGATATCTATGTTTATCTCACCGCAATTAATTCATATATAAATAAACTTCAATATCTGGTAAAATCTAAACTAATGCACTTATTTTAAAAAGAGGTACATAAGGCCCTTACATCTGATTACTTTGCTTCTTTTATTACTACAATGTTAACTATGTTTCATCATAGATAGGTGTAATCTTAACATCTGTTCACCGTCTTCATAATCTACAAACTTTCTTAAAGTCATCTTCTAGACAAGGATCTTTGCATATTTTGCAAAGATCCATGATGGTAACATCGCCACTCCCGGTCCAGTGGCCGCAGGTGGGGGGCAGGCAAAGGTAAGATGTACATACCTGAACCTGTCCCTCACATGTGCCGCCATCCCCTTCCACCCGCTCACATCAACACTCTACTGTCACATATGAATATGATTTTTCATAGAAAGGGCTTGAATACTTCATACTTAGTCTCATTATATCTTTAAAATGGCTTGGATTTCAGTAAAATTCCAACACAGTCAATTAAAGTATTTCATGAAGATTGGAGGGGGCAGGGGGTGACAGTCCCACTCTACCTGTGTTTCCTTTTTCACACATTGTGTTTGTGTACTCATTATGAGCTTCAACATGCATTGTCTAGCACAGGTCTGCACAACCTGCTGCCCCCCAGAAGTTTTGAACTACAATTCCCTTGATTCCCTGGCTGTTTCATTTACTTTTTATTTTTTTTACAAACACGGGCATTGGCTGTTTCATTATATTAATCGTAGGTGTTGGCTAATTGTTTTATTCAAAAAATCGTGGGGGTTGTAGTTCAAAAATATCTGGGGGACCGCAGGTTGTGCAAGCCTGGTCTAGCACAAGTAAACACATAGTGATATATGAATGTTCCCTGGAATGGTCAGTTTAAAAAAAGATATAATGGTTATTATCGTGACTTCTGAGATACTTACCTAATACACCCCTCCCTCTAAATAAGTATTCTTACCAAATCATTTATAACTGTAACTGTGCATAAAATCAGAAGTAACATGCAAGTTCAAGATAACAGCAGGATTATTTCAGTCATTATGAATATTGCCTTATTGCTATGTTTATTGTGACACTATTCCTGTAATATTTGTAATCAACATAAAATTGCGTTATGATTGGTGACGGGGTTCAAAGACAAAAAAAAAAAAAAGATACTACTAGATTTATCTGTGTACTCTGTGCACTCTCTATACATTGACACACACACACACAACAGCAGCAGACAGTCACATGCACACAGTCACAGACCGATAGTCACACAGACAGTCACAGGCAACATCAGTCACAGACAGACAGTCACACATGCATAGTCACATGCAGTCACACACACAGTTATAGGCAGACAGTTACACACACAGTCAGTTACAGGTAGTCACACACAGTCATAGCCAGTACAGTTACAGACAGACAGTGACATATACAGTCACTCACACACACAGTCACAGGCAGAGAGTTTTACACACACACACACACACACAAAGTTACAGGCAGACAGTCACACAAACACACACACACAGTTACAGTCAGACAGTTTTACACACTCACACAGTCACACACACAGACACACACTTACAGACAGTGTGCTGGAGGAGGACTAGATTCCCTGAAGCCTGTGGAGAAGCAGGGATTCCATCTTGCAGCACCTCCATGTGCAGCAGTAACAGCAGCGGGTAAGGGCTGTATTAAGCCCCGCCCTAGCTGCAGGCTTGGCTCCGCCCCGATTTTGATTAGCTCCGTCCCCACTTTACCTCTGTGCGGCCAGTTCAGCTGCTCTTTGTGTTTGTGAGCTGTTCTGGCCGCCCGGCACCCTAACTACCATGGGGCACTGTGTGGCCGTACAGCTCACACAGCCCCCTCCAGCACCCAGACCAGGGTCATGGCACCCCCCACCCTGGTGGCACCCGGGGCGCATCCCCCCTTCCCCCCCCTTAGTACGCCACTGGGTAAGGGTCAGCGGTGTTCGTTGAAATGTGCAGCCGATTTCAGTTCCATGGATTTGGCTACACACACTGCTGACCACAGTTTACACGAACGGCGGCCCCCAGCGGTCGGCAACTTACCTACAGCAGGCTCCCAGCCTGGGAGGTAAATTGCCTGCACGCTTCCACTTCTGGGTGGTCCGTCTGTTTAATACTAGGTTCAGTAAGCCCCATTTACTGAAACAAGTGGGAGAAAGCCAGGTACACAGTATATTAAAGGTTTGGGGACACTGGGGACACCGTCTTAAAGAGGCATTGTCCCCAACAAGCCTGGGGACACCGTCTTAAAGGGGCATTGTCCCAAAAAGTCTTAATATGCCCGCATACAGTTCTTAAAGGGCCATACACAATCTAATAGAAGTCCATACACTGTGCTTAAAGTAGCAGCCAGAAGCAGCACAATATAAATCCATTATGTCCAACTAATGTTTTTAAAGTGCCAAATCTCCCAGGGGTCATAGTCCCAAGGCATGAAGCTGGTAAACAGTCCCCTCCAAAAAGTAGTGGTGAGGTCCCTTTCGCCACACATCACTTATACTTAGGGTACGAAATGATGTAGTTCCCAGCACTAGAGACAGCTTATCAACTGAGCCCTAGAGTTTCATTCTCACATAACCAACTTAAAACTCTGTTTTTTGGGGAAACACAGAGGGGTAAAGATAAGGGGAAAGTAAGAAAACTTTGCCTTGTGCTGTTCACATCACGGGGAGTCAGAAGGAGTGAGTAAAGGATTTAGGAACAATGGAGATAAACCTATTCGGCATGTATAGGGCTCTGCTCACGTGCATCCCATTTGGAGAATACATGCAAGCTCTTATATTGTTTGGTATTTAGTACATATAGACTAGCAGGTATATACCCAAACACAAGAGATACATGTCGAAGATGTAACGCAGAACTGGGAATAATGTTTATTGGTACAACAATACTGGGTTACTGTAGCTAAGAAAATAAAAGATAATACACACATCTTTAGAGAGGTGTCAATAAAAATATCCTGCTACATATACCTCCTGAGGGAATAACAAATCCCAAACTAAAACTCATATTTCATACTCTCACAGCAGCTGCCTTATTGCTAGCTAGGAAATGTAAATCACCTTCCATCCCAACAAACTTTGAATTCGCACAACAAATCACGACCAACTTGGCCTATGAACAAATGGTGTCTCAAATACAAAAAGGGAAAGCAATCCATGAAGCAGGCAGATAATGGAAAGAAATACTTATCCAAGCCATAAAATATATATATTTACACACACACACACACACACACACCGCTCTAGCTTTCACTTCAAACTCTACCTACATAGAACACATACACAAGCTGATACCCCCAGGAGTAAATAAAAATAAAGGATCCACTCTTGCGCTTGCAGGAGATATGAGGAAGCAGATCAGGGATGCAAGACATAACATACCAAGACCAGAAAACAGGTGAAAAATTGTTCTTCTAGGTTTACGGTTTATACTTACATTATTTAGTTTCACAATTCCAACTATTTTTGTTTCCATTTATGATTTACTTTAAAATACCTTATTACACTGAAAAGTCGACAGATACGAAATAGATAAATGGATATAGAGAGACACTGAATTGAAAATGTTAGTGACATAATGTATTATATAAAAACGAGCATCTAGTTGATATGTAAGTTAAATGTAACATAAATTATTGGCAATAACTGTGAGTATGTACTTTCTAAAATTGCCGTACCACTATGCGTGAACATCTCTTTTATTACCTAATGCTGGGTGAATTAAAAAACAGTAACATTTAAGTTGCAAAAAAATAAAAGTGCAATACAGAAAAATGTTTGGAGCCAGTTGTAGATGCAGCTTGCAGTGAAATACTTACAGTTACCCTAAAAACCAGAAAGGGCAGTTAAAATGCCAGGCTAAACAAAGGATTGGACCTTTTCAAGTGACACAATTACAGGTGAAATCAGGTGGCAAGTTGAAGAAGAACATAAACTAACTTAAGAACAATGTAAGCTTTATACATGCAGCAGGAAGAGGACACCAGGGAACCCATCACACCACAGGAATGCAGCATGTACTGCTCCTAAAGTATCTACTTCTGGTTTCTATTTTTTTACCATTGCTGTCAGGAACAAAGGACCTAAAGATCGCATTGCACACTGTTCTCTCTTCCTTTAATGACCACAAATGTATACAAGATCACATTCTTTTATTCACTTTAATCACTTAAGCATTTTATTTTGTACTTACATTTACACAACACCTGCTGCAAGGTAGATATGTTTATCTTTCATTGGCAGTGAAACTGAGAAAAGATGATATGATATCTCTTACTACATCACATTATCAGAAAGATGGGATCTTTGTTCTTCCAAATGGCTACATCAGGTTTTTTGTTTAGTTCTTGATCCTTGTGGTAGTTGTCTTAAGTTTCAGAGAGGCATGAGTGAGCCTTACTAAAACAGATAGTGAACCAACTTTGCAGATAGACTTTAAAGTCTCTCTCTAAAAGTATGTTGTGTTTGATACAGAGCTCAACCTGTAAAATAGATGTTAAAAATGTAATTAACAGAGTTTGAAACTACAGTAAGTGTCCGTACTAATTGATGAATTAGGTAAAAGCGTGCTTGACACCTGATTTGGGGTTGGAGAATTACTGTATTCTCCACATATTTAAAAATACTTCAAAAGTCAGCCTTTGTCGAGATAACTGTGAACTGATCTGTTTTATACATGATAGCTTTTTCGATAAAAAAAAATGTATTAATGTGGGGGACATGGCTGACTAAGAGACTGAATAGACGTGTTCTCGCAGATCTCCGCTTCGGCCCAGTGATTTTACCTAATTCACCTAGGTTGTCAGCATCGCAGAAGTGCCTCTGCAATCTCACCCCCACAGAGACATAATGGGGTGCAAGCACTGCAAAATCCATGTGCCTGATCCTTCTAAAATCGCAAGATATAAGGCTCTCGTTCGAGTGGCCTACACCGCCGGCGCCTCCAAAATGACGCCCACAGCAAGACACATGGAGGACGCCTCTGAGGAATCCCTGGAGGATGAGGAACTACTCACTTCTCCCCAAGGGGGAAAAATATACCAGGAAGCAGACTCGGATGACAACTTATTTCCCTCAACGAAAGGGGACATAAAGCAGCTGCTCCTGGAAATGCACAAAGTGTGGATGGCTGACCTCCTGGGGAAACAGCAAGAGATTGAGGCTATCCAAAAGAGGCTTAAAGACATGGAGGTGAGGGAAACAGCTCGAGACACACAACTGCAAACCACTATGTCCAACATGGATGGACTTGCCTTGCAGTTCCAGAGACTGCACCGCACAGTGGCCGCACTGGAATCCCAACACAGGCGCTGCAACATCCTCCTGAGGGGAATACCTGAGGACATAAAGGGGGGATCACTGCTACCTTGTGCTCAAAGGCTGTTCGCATCCATAGGCCTAAAGGGAGGCTCGGACCCCTCCACACTACTCACAGCATTCAGAGTCAGAAAGGCTGCATCAGCTGCAGCCCCCAGAGACACATTTATAGTGGCCAGAGACATAGCAGTAAGATCTGTCATTATGGCTCGTTCCAGAACGCTAGGAAGCGCGAAATTTGAAGGTACTTCCATCTGCTTCTTCAGTAACATCCCATTTGCTGCACTGGTAGAAAAGCGAAAACTGGCTCCGGTAGCCAGGAAGGGACCACTCGGTTTGAGGGACCACTCGGTTCGATACCACTGGGAAGCAGACGGTGCCCTGATGGTGTCACTTAACCTCAGAAGAGGACCAAGAGAAGCTTCTCCGACGTTTAGAGAGGATAGAGAAACCTGAAGAGGGAGACGCGAGGGGAAATACCTAAGAGACCCCGCGCAGACATACTGCTGACCCAGCTCAAACCTACCAGATTTGGAGTCCTTAGACTTTGAAATGTTATCCGTTATAACAGGCAGTTCACACATGAGCCACTCACATAGGCCCATGCCATACATTCTAGGCCACCACACCACGGCCATTACCCCTCTATTTTGTTTATCTGTCAAGGTGCCTGACACCCTGTATTAGCACTGACACTCAACAATACCAGTATCCCTAGGTTTGGAGCGATGGGGAGACCTAGACACTTATCCCTAGATACATATCCCTTCACATGAATGCAAAAGTTGTCTTAGAACCCACAGAGTCTTGTCCAACAACACTACAATCAAAATACACTGATGTGCATGTATGCTTTTGTGTACAAAACCCAATAAAATACAAATTAAAAAAAATAAATTATCATTGTCATTAATTTTGTTCCAAGAAGTCAACATGGAATCTGAAATGTGTTCTAATGTAGATGATAACAATGGAAGGGACTTTCATCATGACAGTCAGTTGAATTTGTCCACAGCAGACAAAACATTCAGTTTTACCTATGTCAAACACCCTAGGTGTCTCTTTTTACATTGAGGTTAATGCACACTTGATACATTTTCATTGCATTCTCTTTTATGCAGAAT